AACATATGAGAGAGGAACGTGCCAAGAAGGGGACTTCTAGAGAGAGAGCTACTTGAGAAGATTTTGGGTTCGTGAGAGGAAGGAGAATATGAGTTTGTGAGGGAGGAGTGTGTGGATATCACACGGTTGCTCCAAGCCTGCTGCATGCTTGCTTCTCCTATGGCCCGAGAAGATCTTGTGGGAAGCTTTCTAAGGGGGAGATCCTTCAAGGTCCATGTCCTCTAAGGTACCCTGCTTTCTCTAAGAGGGAGAAAAAAGAGAAGGTTCATTTCTATCACCGGGAGGATGACATAGTGTTTGGTACTCCACCACATCGGGGAAGGTGAAAGTAAGGTTTTGTAAAGGCTTCTCCGCCTTGTTGCTGGGAGAAAATGAGACTTACATTTGAGCAGTGAAATTCTTGGAGTGTAGGACTCTAGGGAGTGAACGTAGGTAAATTGGCTGAACCACTATAAATCTTCTGGTGTTATTTTTTTATTCACCGGGAGGATGACATAGTGTTTGGTACTCCACCACATCGGGGAAGGTGAAAGTAAGGTTTTGTAAAGGCTTCTCCGCCTTGTTGCTGGGAGAAAATGAGACTTACATTTGAGCAGTGAAATTCTTGGAGTGTAGGACTCTGGGGAGTGAATTGACTGAACCACTATAAATCTTCTGATGTTATTTTTTTATTTACTGCACTTTGCTTATGTTTTGAATTTTACATTTGTTATAACTACTTGGTGAAAAGATTTTTTGTTATGTGATTAAAATTTCACCACTTACGTGCAATCATGTTTTAATCATTCTGTTCTGCATTAAGTTAAATTTTTTATTTAAAATTTAAAAATAAAAAATTAGAACTCATGTTTAGGATTGTTATTTTATTACAAAAATTTGCAATTCACCCCCCCTCCCCCTCTTGGCGCATCTCATACTTTCACTAACAAATTAGTAAGTTACAAAAACATATGACTATAATCAATACACGATAGTAGAATAATATGCATGTAATTAATAAATCATAATTAGTATAAACATGTAATAATAAGAATAATTAGTTTTAATATGAACAGTGTCATTTTAAATGAGTAATCATAATTGATAAAAGCAGCGCAACTTAAATTAGTGAATAGTAACCATGCAAAGAATCACTAGATTTTGTCATTACTATACTTATGTGAAGTACATCATAATAGGTATGTCTTAAAATGGGCCAAATATAATAGATCTACTCCTCTAACTGGGTCATCACAAGGCCAAGAATTTATATGAACACTTGAACACTATCGTTATAGGTCCTAAGCTCTGGATGAGAATAGTGGAAGGTTGCATTAGGTAGTTGACAGTGTAAAACTAGTCAAATAATTATGACATGAATCTTTTAATACATTGTGTTATAAATAGTTTTTGTTTGAAAATTAAAAATTTTAGCATTTAAATTTTTAAATTTTTGAAGAAATTTATTCTCTTTGAGTTAGTGTTTGGTGACCTACCTTAATCAACCTTAGTGAGATTGATTAGTTATTTTTTAAGCATATTGTCGTTAAACTTCTTAAATTATATTCTAAATCTCTTTGGCATCTTCCTCTAAATCCAATCCATATTTTAATACCAGTCATCCACAATTTAAGCATCAATTAAGCTAATGCAAATGCCCTTCGAAGCCCTTAGCCTACTTTAGGCACCCTTACACCTTGTCTTATTATCCATTCCACTAGAAGGTTTTCAATCTCACCAAAATCTATGTTTTATTATAGATCAAATGTTCACATCCTATGATAATCGTACACCATTATTTTTAGTAAGTTTTTACACTCAAAACTTATTCTCTAAAGTGATCTTGTAATTGGCTCAAGCTAGCCCAATTGGTACTAGTCATGGCATTCCTTTCATTATATCCCAACAAATATCTCATCATTCTAGCAAAACTCTAAAAAACTTTTTTAATTAATAAAATAAATATTCATAAGCACTTTTATTAACTAATTCTACTAAAAAGGCCTCCTATTGTCGTCATTCTAGCTCATGAGGTTATTTTCAAGATGTTTGGGATATATGTAGAATGACCCATTAGGTGTTAATGAATAGTATAAGGTTCTTGAAAGAATACTAACCAAATATATTCCAACTAGATATCTTTAAGGGCATTGAAGGAGTAGTTTCTCCATAAAAAGTCACTCATAATGGATAATTTAACCATGGTGTGTATGCTTGGTATGAGTAGAAAGTTATAGTGGGATGATGAACACATGCCTCAATAAAGATAATCTTCATGAGTATACCTAAATTAAAATCTAGATAGGTCATGATGATGAGGTCATTTATGACTTATTTTATAGGTTGACTGAGAGCTTATTCTCAGGAATTGAGGAGTAGGAGATAGTAGAAGCAGTAATGATGAAGGAATTTATTATAGTGCAAAAGTTGGTAAGGGAGGTTGTTAAGGGTGTTTCTCAAAAAGTAGTAAAAACTCATGATTGAGAAAACTAAGTGGTGAGCAGTTGAAGATCAAGCTATATTAAAGAAGACCATTTAGAAGGTACATAAAGAAGAAATTGTGGAACATTTTATTTCAAAGATCGAGGTAGAGGTGATTATAAATGGCATCAAAATTGTGGTTATTATAAAGATTCAAGGGCTAAGGTGACTACAACAAGAGTGATGGTGCAAGTGGTGGGTGGTCTACTAGGAGATGATTAACCATAGTGTAAGAGAGGAATCAGGGGACTTACCCACAAAATTACCATGCTAATATGATGTCCCTACTTCCTTCCTTTTGGTTAGAGATCAAGTTACAAGAATTCTCCGAGAAGTAGATATAAGCAGATATTCTTTGGCATTCAAAGGCTTGCAATAATATCAATAAGGAGCTTTGATCTATTTTTAAAGAAGAGAAAGAGGAATTCTAGTCCCTTAAATTTAAAGTTAGAGGTTATGAAAAGACATGAGGTATATTGGATGCTCATCGATGTGATTTAATTTCAAGCCCATAAGGTAACTATGTAGATTATTAACATACTCACTTACAAACACCCATGACTATAAATAAGCCTAATAGCGGATGCACGCTGGGGGGTGGCACATGCCTCCCTCCCTTCGCCCATGACTATAAATACGCCCAATAGCGGATGCACGCTGGGGGCCCTGGGGGCATGAGCCCCAATTAACTTAATTAATGCATCCATATATAAAAAAAATTAAAAAGTAATTTACCCTAATTACAGCTAAATATGGTTCAAGCAGAATAATTACATAAGAGACAAATTTTGCACCCTGCCTTCCTCCGTTTGGTTAAACTCTCTACGTGCGGCGTAAGCTTTCTTTAATTTTTTTAGCAAGTTCGATCCTTATTTTTGGTCTAAAATTTCTATATGAGAGCCTTGATCCTCCTTCGCATGCAACAATATGCTTGGAACATGGAATTTATAAGGCCTGATTGCTCTCTTTCTCCTTCTCGTTGACAATTTCATTCTATTTGTAGTTTCTTTCTCAGTGGCAACAAATAAATAAATAAATTTATTATTTTTATACTATTATTTTTAATTAAAACTTAGGCCTCATTTGATTAGATTTATTTCCTCCGTTTTTGTTTGAATAAGCTTTAATCAGCTTGTCATAACTGTTTGGAAGACAAATTTAACCAAAATTACTTTTTATTAAACCACGTATTTTGGGTGGTTACAAAATTTTTTCACTGTCTGCTTATTCGTTTAGACAACACAATTTCGCTACCCAATGTTTGAATTAACCCTCGACTTTCTCATGTCGACCCACGAAACTACCTTCGTCTTCTTCAGATCGCAAGACAAAAAAACTGTCGCTATTTTTTTAGCCCCTTCCATCCGGACTCTCGATTCCTCTCCATTTCGCACGCTAGGGCTCAACATCTCCACTCCTCTTGCTCGACCAAAGTAACCACCATCCTCCCTGACGTCGATCTGTTCAGCCGTCCCGACGCCAGTCCGTCTTAGCATCGACGACCTTTACTCATCCCAACCATCGACCAAACTTCACAGTTGCTGTGATCCCAAGCCCACACTATTCCTAACTAGACCAGACTCGCTTCCCTTCAGATTGGCAATTACTTTCAAGGTACCGTTGTGCCCTAAGGATTTTTATGCTTCTCCTTCATCTACCTCACAATTTCTTTTTTCTTTTTTTTAGTCTTGTTGCTAATGTACCCAAATCACCTCTTACAAAACAAATAATTAAAGACTTATGAAGAATCATAGCGATTTTGATGACATTTGATTTGCATGTAAGTTATACGAGATTATTTTTACTGTAGCACAGTCTTTTAATCAAGTTATAATAGCATTAGCTTGTGCTTATAGATTGTTTTAGTGACACATAATGCTATCTCTGATTCTTCTTAAAAATGACTTCCTTTCAAGCATAATAGGCAAAGCTTTTGGCTATTTATGTGTTTTTTCAAAGCGCTAACTGAACATCCCCCATGCTGATATGATGACCATCATATTTACAACTTCATAATTGTTAACCCATTACTGCTAAGCCATATCATTACCTCTCACTTTCTAATGAAAAAAATAAATTAAGATTCTTCAAATGTTATCATCAGGCATAATTCAATCTAATGTCACTCATTTCTCTTTATTAGTACGTAGTCCTTGTCAAAAAAGAACGGCATCTTGTTATTTTGTTTAGACCACGCTTAAAGAAGGATGTACATTACATAAGGTCTTGTATATTACTAACATATTACTATGTTTTTAACATCTAGATGGGAAATAAAAAAGAAGGATGTGCACCTGCATCATGGGACATAGATACTACTTTAATATATTGTGATATATGTATAAGAGAAATAAAACTGAGAAACAGACCAACTACGCATTTTACTAAAAAAAACAGTTGATGCTTCTAATGATTGGTGGAATGAAAATTTGCAGGTATCTCTCAAATTTGAAATCATTCACTTTATACTCTAAATTCAAACCAGCTCTTACGTAATATAACCCATGATTCATAATGAATCATTTGTTGTACTTTAGGTAATGCCAAATGCTATGAAGTTTCGTTTCAATGGAATACCATCAGAGTTGGAAGAAAAGTTGGATCTTATGTTCAGTCGTATTGTTGCAACTGGGGAGAATGTTTGGATTCCTAGTTCTGGTGTACTTCCCCCAAAACTAATTGGCAATCACACTATCTCATCTGAAGAAGAAGAGTACACTCAAGATGAACAAACACATCTTCCACATGTTCCTACAAGCAACTACGATACACAAAGATCACAACAGAGTGCCACATTATTGCATAAAAGGAAAAGAGTTAGAACTCCTAAGTCGGGGACTAGAGAACTTTTTCTAAATCATGTTGAGGACCTCGTGGATGCTGCAAAATCTATAAGTTCATCTATAAGTACATCAAATAAAAATCGTACAACATTTACTATCCTAGAGGTTTTAGAAGAGACATCTAAAATTCCTGATATATTTGACGTTTTTGAGTTATATGGCTTTGCCTTAGAATACTTTAAAGATAAGGATAACCGGGAGATATTCATGGGTATACTCATTGAAAGAAGATTATGGTGGCTTCGAAGGAGTTTTGATAAAAGTTTCTGCTAACTGCCCATTGAAGAACATGGAATAAGCAAGTACCTAATAGCTCCATCTCTTCAAAATTGAAATCAACAGTTACATCATGTTTATTTTCTGTTCTTGTAGTTGTTGTTATTGTTTTTAGTTGGGTTCATAACATATTTCCTTTGTGTTTATTTAGGTTGTTGCTTATTTCTGTATACGATTCTCGATGTAATTATGTTATGTTACTTTACTAATTCTTCATTCTACTTTAAGTAGTGGGACAAAAGCTTGTTGTTGTTGTATCAGATTGTGATTCACTCATTATAAGACTTGTCGCCACCCTTTAAAAATCCTTTTTTTTTTCTTATTGCCTTTTACATGATTTATTTTTAAACTCCACAAAACTTCTTAAATAATCTTCTAATAATACTATCCATCTTACCACACATAAAACTTGAAGAAGATACACATGCAGGTCTTGTAATTGACCGTCTGCTTTAAGTTTTAGTGCGATAAAAAACACCACCCACAGAGAGTGTCAATTAAATTGCAAAAACAGATGGGTTTAACTAACAAACAGTTTAACTTAAAAACTATCAGATTATTCTCCAACATAACCACTTTTTTAACTTGCCTAGCTTCCAAAGCAAGGCAGCCCTGACATCTTTTAATTAAACTTTTCCTAATCAGCCTTTCCCACTAATATTATTTTTCATTAATTCAAATAAACTATCAAAATTATGATTATGGTTGCAGAGATCTGGAACCAAAAACTTCTGACACCAATTAAAGCCAAAGCTTATTCAAAAAACAATAATTATAGAATCAGAAACAACACAACAAAACTTACAGATCAAAATAATTCAACTTTATTATAGCAGATCTGGATTTAGGATGAACTTGCCCAATTGAAATGATCTTGCCCAATTGGAACTTCAAAAGAAATAGTGCAAAAGCATGTGAACCCGTTTTTACTAGCTTGCTTTCCAACAGAAGCAAAAAACTACAGTTGCAATGAAGTTTATGGTGTAAAAGCTAGTTGTTGTATTCAGTTGACACTGCATATTTATAATGCACTGGATATTTTCCGTAGAAGATAAACAAACAGCTTTATAACTCAATATCATCATTTCATACATATTAATGGGAAAACTTAACAATAATTTTTGTTGGAAAACAACGGCAAAGATTATTTTTTTTATTTTGGTAAATGTATAATTTCATTCATATTAGTTATGTATTTAAAAATACAGAAAATAATATAATCCATAGATAGCAACAACGATTGCTTGAATGATTATTGATTTCCAATGATTCACTGAAGTCTATGGGATGTACTATTTTGATATTTTCTCCTTAGTTGCACGAAACTTTATTCAAATTCTTTCACTCAATGGCCATCAATCCAGGCTGGACAGTTACATATGAAATCCTTTTAAGGCAATCTTCATGAGGCCATTTATATGAAGCAGATATTGGGGATGTTGTTTAGGGGGAGAGTAAAGTATATTCTCTCTTCTTCTTATCTAACCAATCATTGAGAAGGGAGTACTATTAGCTAGGCTTCACTGTTAATATTTCTGCTTTTATGTAATCAGCTGAATGACGTCTTCTATTTTTTATTAGTAATAATCACTACATTATTATATATCATTTAGTAATTTGTAGTATTTGTACTGTTCCAGATCAATAATGGCAGATGATTTGTTAAATTTTGGGGAGGACGAAGTACTTGATGATATGTCAAAAGTTAATGAGCGTAAAGGATCGAGTGGCAGAATTTACTCATATATTACTCACAACGACATGTGCAATTCATGATTACTATGCATTGTATGTTTGCAAGAATCCTTGCATGACATCAACTCAAACGGGAGATAAATGGTTGTGTGAGTTGTTGCATGGCCATCCAAATAGATTTCATATCATGTTCAGAATGTCACAAGTTATTTTTATGGACTTAGTTTCTTTGTTGGATTCATCATATGATTTATATGCATGGATCTCGCAAAACTACTACTCGAGAGGTACTTGCAATAACTTTATACATTTTGGGACATAATGAGAGTATTAGATCAACATGTGAACGCTTTCAGCACTCTACAGAGACGACTAGTAGGTTTTTTTATAATGGTCTGCAAGCATTAGTTCGATTATCAATGGAGATTATTGCACATGTTGATAAATTTTTTCATGATATTCCTGAAAAAATAATTAATGACACACGGTACATGCCATTCTTTAAAGATTGCATTGGTGTTATTGAAGGCACATATGTTGATGCATGCATCCCTGTTGAAGAGCAGGTCGCTTATATTGAACGTCATCATTCACCGACACAAAATGTGATGGCTGCATGTGATTTCAACATGTGTTTCACGTTTGTTTCACCTGGTTGGGAGGGTTCGGCATATGATGCGCGTATATTTAAACATGCAGTGATGGATCCAAAATATAATTTTCTTGCACCACCTCCAGATATTACTAATTTATAGAATGAAATTGTTATATTTATTAATTAGGTTATATTGTATACTAATTAACAAATTTATGAACAGTAAACTTTTACTTAGTTGATGCAGGTTACCCTCTACAAAGGGGATATTTGAAGCCATACTTGGGAACCAGATATCACATACCAGATTTTAGAAGAGGTATGTAGTAGAACTATTATGGGACATAAGGAGCTTTTTGATAATAGACATTCCTCACTAAGAATTGTAATTTAACGTTCCTTTGGCGTATGGAAAAAGAATGAGGAATATTAAGAGATATGCCTAATTATAGTTTTAAGAAGCAGCGTCTTATTGTTGTTGGTACCATGAGATTACATAATTATATTCGACGACATATATCATGAAATGATCCAGATTTCATAGACAGTAACGTTGATGAAAATTTTATTCATCCAGAGGCATATCAATGCAGAGTAGGAGAGCAAATTGAAGAAAGTAATGTGTTATATGCCGAAGTAGAGTTTGGTGATGACGATGGGGTGGTGAATGAAATGATTGAACTGAGAGAGAAAATTGCATTTGAACTATGCAGTTAGAACATGTATAATGAATATGCAAATGTTTTTTTTGTAAATATGAATTTCCAAATATTTTAATACAAAAAACCTGAAATATTTGTTTAAATGTTTTTTTAACAGCAATCAAATTCAGTTATCATCCTGAGAAGGAGATGATGACATGGTTGTTTATGATTTAGTTAGGAAAGTATTTGTAATGCTATTTGTTTATACCTTTGATGAACAATTGTTGAAATTTTATTGATGTAATATTTTAGAACAATTTTATGTGTAAATTTCAGGATTTGTAATCATTTTGGCTTTATCATGAAGCCCATGCTATTTCGTACTATCTTGTTTGGTTAACTTGCACCGATGCCTGTGACTCTCAAGTCTTAGACTATGAATGATGAATTTTGAAGCATCCAGTGGTCCATGATAATATAAAATCATTATGACCATATGAGTGTAATGTAGTTCAATTGTAGCTATAATTTTAAAAAAATTTGTTTATGTCTGATGTATTTAAAAAGCAATGAGCTGACTATGAAGTAGCACATGTACTAGTTATGATGTTTCAAATCAGTTTTGGCTTGCTTATCGTATCCTGGTTATTAAAAGTTACTAACTCATGTAGAATTCAAATTTTGGAGGTGATGTTACTCCATTAGTTCTCTCAAACGTTTTTTAATAATATGACTGATATTTCTTCCTAAATATTTTAGATATTTCAATTGGTTTGACAATGACCAGTATGTTGACCTTCCTACTTTTATTGACATATATTGATGAATCGTTCATCATTTTCATCAAATCAGATAATCTGCCATCGCTTTATAAAAAAAATATAGAACAATGTCAATTTTTTGAATACATACACATTTAAATAGGTGCCGCATCAAGCCATCAGCTACGTAAGATTCCATTCAGATTTGTGTTTGATTCTTTGTATTTTCTCAAGCTCAAAAATAAGTTTGAAATAGTATTTCTATTACGAAAATAATTTATTTGATAATAAAATAAATTAATTTCCCAACATAATTTTTTTTTTGTTGAAGTTGAGTTTTTTTTATAGAAGAATTAATAACAAAATATTGTAACTATAATAATAAATTAATATGATTTAAATTTTATCATATTTGTAGTAAAAATTATGTTGTATGTTAAAAAATTATGAGATAAAAATGAAAACTTTTGATATTATAAATTAGTAGATAATTAAATTTTTCTTAGAAAGTTATATATATATACGACTCGAAACGGGTCGGGTTCGGGTTCAACATTTCGACCCGATTCAAAAATCGGGTCGGGTTCGGGTTAACCCTTTGACCCGATTTTGACCTGGCAACCCGAGATTGACCTGGCAACCCGAGATTGACCTGGCAACCCGAGATTGACCTGGCAACCCGAGATTGACCTGGCAACCCGAGATTGACCTGGCAACCCGAGATTGACCTGGCAACCCGAGATTGACCTGGCAACCCGAGATTGACCTGGCAACCCGAGATTGACCCGGCAACCCGAGATTGACCCGATTTTGACCCGAAAAAAGGAGATAGACCCATTTTTGACCCGAAAAAGAGGAGATAGACCAATTTTTGACCCGAAAACTAGAAATTTTTTTGTTGGAAACGGGTCATTTGGGTTATGTCGGGTTGACCCGGACCAGAAGCGGGTCGGGTTCGGGTCAGGAAAACTGACCCGTTTTCAAAAACGGGTCGGATTCGGGTTGACCCGAATAGTGCCGAGTCAGTTTCGAATTCGACCCGAACCCGACCCGTGACCCGAAATTGACACGCCTATGTAAACCTTTTTTGTTCATAAGCACTTTATAAAAGTGATACTATTATATTGGAGTTATGGATTGTGCTGGGTGGTTTGCAATTATTTATTTTGGTAAACTTTCATTTTTTTACTATCATGTTTGGATATGATGAAATCAAATAAAATTATATGAAATTTATTAAATACTTTTTTATTTATATTAGAAATAGAGAGACATTTTAAAAGAAAAAGTGAAGCGGATGTA